TACGGTACTTGCTGTGATACTGTAGTTCACGAATCCATTGCTGAAAAAAGAACTTCACTGAATCAATCGCAACCTGAAAAAATGCAGCCCCTAATAAAAATTACCTCAAATGATCCAGGATCATCAAATGTAAATCGGTTTATGACAGATGTTCTTCTGTTGTGATCAAAAAACATATGTTCCAGTAACTGGTCTTGTGATGGAACTTCTGGAGTGCTTCCAAATATTGCATTACAGCTCATGCACATGGTCTGAAAGCGAAATTCTAGTTTATTAAGGAGGGATAAAGACAAGGGATAAATAGGCTGGAGAGCGTTCATACTTGGCGATTTCAGCGCCTCAGGTAAACACATAAAGCATGGTCAAAAGCTTGAGCAAGAGTAATGATCAAAAAACACTGTCACAATGGCAATATATCCGATATTTAGGAAAGAAAAAGCACGACAAAAGCTATGAGAAGGCTAACTAAGTTGTGGGGAGGGTCTACGGAATAAATGGGGAGCATGGTGGTGGAAAGCAGAGGCCCACCAATGATCTTTTATTACGAAGTAGTTGAATTAGTCATTTCATCAGTCCACTGATCGGCAGTAGAGCGCCGCTCGCCTCAACTTCTCGGTAAGTGCTGCGCGCGCCCAAGTCGCAAAGTATAAACGCGCTCCTAACGACTTTACCGGCGATAGGTCCCCAAGACTTGCCAAAAGTGGGAACTGTAAAACAACAAGTACTTTAAGAAAAACTCACCGGAGGAAACGGTTTCGTTGGTCGAAATTTTACCGTACGATTGCTATCGCTAATTGGTCGTGGATTCAAGTTTGTGGTTTGAGGAATGGTTCCGCGTGATTCGTTGGCGAATCTTTTACGATATATCTAAAACTCATGGGTCGTTATGGAAGCAGTCACGTTAGAACGAAAGCTCAACTGTCTGCGAATGAATCCCACTGGAGACAATTATGCTCACACCTAAGACGGTCCTTGAAATATATACCATTTTCACTTTAAATCGGACACTTTTCAAACCAAATCGGACACTTTTCAAATCAAATCGGACACTTTTCAAATCAAATCGGACACTTTTCAAACCAAATCGGACACTTTTCAAATCAAATCGGACACTTTTCAAATCAAATCGGACACACCCCTTACAATAGGCAGTTGATAACTATACCACACTAGGTACTGCTGCAAGCCCCGCCCCAACACCCCGCCCACTTTTCAGCGCGGTCACGGTTTCCAAAATGTTTTATGAAATCTGCTTCTTCGACTTTTTTCACTTTTGCTAGTTGCACACACACTTCAACTGAAAAGGATTGGTACCGATGCAGATCTGACTCCGCCCACTTCACAATCAAGTGACGCAAGCTCTGAATTTTTACTTTACTTTTCTTTATCTCTTTTTCTTTTTTAACTTTTTTTGACGTCCTTTTCCCATTCAATCTTCACAAAACGAATATAGGCATGCATTCACACACTAGCACACTAGGCCCCGCCCCTCTGACCACGCCCACTTTCGTTTTTCGCGGAATTTTGATTTTTCTTCCAAATTTTCACTTTAGGCTGTGACAAGCGGTCCCGCCCATTAATGGAAGCTCCGCCCACTTTGTAGAAGCTTTTCAAAAATGATGCAGATCGGCGAGCTAGTGACCGTACTAGCAGGTTATGGCCTCTCCCGTCACATAGAATGAAAAAAAGGAAAGACCAGAAAAAAAGGGAAACTTTGTTCCGGATGACGGGTGAGGAAATAACCTGCCAGTACGGTCACTAGCTCGCCGATCTGCATCATTTTGAAAAAGTGGGGCGGCTTCTACAAAGTGGGCGGAGCTTCCATTAGTGGGCGGGGCCGCTTGTCACAGCCTAAAAAAGTGAAAATTTGGAAGAAAAATCAAAATTCCGCGAAAAACGAAAGTGGGCGTGGTCAGAGGGGCGGGGCCTAGTGTGCTAGTGTGTGAATGCATGCCTATATTCGTTTTGTGAAGATTGAATGTGAAAAAAAGACGTCAAAAAAGTTATAAAAATTCAGAGCTTACGTCACTTGATTGTGAAGTGGGCGGAGTCAGATCTGCATCGGTACCAATCCTTTCAGTTGAAGTGTGTGTGCAACTAGCAAAAGTGAAAAAAGTCGAAGAAGCAGATTTCATAAAACATTTTGGAAAACCGTGACCGCGCTGAAAAGTGGGCGGGGTGTTGGGCGGGCTTGCAGCAGTACCTAGTGTGGTATAGTTATCAACTGCCTATTGTAAGGGGTGTGTCCGATTTGAGTGGAAAAGTGTACGATTTGGTTTGAAAAATGTCCGATTTAAAGTGAAAATTGTATATGACTGGGCCTGCAGCTGCAGTAGCATGCCACTATCCAGCTGCCGCTTCCTGAACTCGCCCGCACTATCCCCAAGGTGCAGCACATGCTTCGATATCAAAATCTCGCAGCGAAGGGGGTAAAGAACAACCAGCGTGAGGAACATAAACAGCGCATTTTCTCGTGGTTAGGCCTCTTACCGTCCTTTTTCGGAGCGTAGAGAGTGGCCTGTTACTGCAGCTGTGGACCCATTCATCTCGTACATGGAAAGGAGCAGAATCCAAAGAGCTGAGCGTACAATTTGACTTCAAGCAGATGACAAAAAGATGACCTAATAAGAAACTCACAAGATTAGCCCGATGATCTTCAAGACTAGAGCGAAGAGTTTCGAAAGACGGGAAGAGGTGTACAATATCCGTATGCTCATTCATCACCTTATCAACTGAAAATACATGAAATGACCCGAAACAGTAAAACCAAGCGGAAAAACCTCAAGCGCTACTCACGATATGCATGATAAAGGGCGTCGAGAGGTATATCGGTAAACTCTGCTATTAATCTGAGATCGTATACGGTAATTCGCAATCTGATCTGAAATCGTCATGTGAAATCAACCTCAGTGGCTGTTCCAAGAGTGTTACCTGGATGTCATCTGGACGACAACAAGCGGAATGTGCATCTCGAACACGTAGTTCTGTTAGATTACGAGACGTGCGAATTGTCCCTCTACATGCCGTATTCGCACATCGCCAAAGGTTCCAATTATCCGGATTCAGCTGAAAGTATGGGACTGAGTGAACGGTTTAGTTGGCTAGTGAAGAAATGTTGCAGTAATGTAACTTACAAATCCATTTATGTTGTAAAGATGCCCGTCAAAAGCCAGCTGCTTTCTACATCTTTTTGAGAAGCATATGTACATTTTCGAGCCATTTGTAAATACATATGTTCGACTTAACAGATCCAACAAATTCACACACATTTCTGCCCCAATTGACGGGGAGTTATCAGCGTAATACATCTGTCGTCCTGGAACAGAGAGAACGTTGGGTTGCGTTCATACTTTGCGTCAGCGTACGGTCGCACACACCAGCGCCAGCGGCTAGGAAAGTATGGATATCGATCTGGCGTACGTCAGCGTAGAGCAGCGCTTTCGCGGACCGTACTGCTCGAGCTCAAATTGCCCGCGAAAAGGCTGGCGTTTGCTGGATCTATATCCACACTTTCCTAGTAGCTGGCGTTCGCTAGACGATATCTATAAATTCCTAGATGCTGGCGCTGGCATACGCTTGAAACGCTATCGTACGCGGCGCTAACGTAGTTGGGAGGGGACCACGCGGCTCGCGGCGAGCGATGACTCATCTGCTCTTCTGCTCCCTCCTCGGCAAAATAGAAGTAATTGTTTTCGCCCTAGCTATATCCAAAAGCTAAAACAGTTGACATTGAAAAGTGCAAAGAAACAGGGTGCTAACGTATTTGGGGAGGGGGGACCACGCGGCGAGCGATGACTCATCGGGATACTTGGAGCGCGAATCTAGCAGCAAATTAGAATAAAACAAACAAGATTCACCGGGAACTTGCTGAGAAATCCCACAGAAGCTGAAAACAAATGTTTGATCTTTTGTAGTCAACAATAACATTCAACAACAGGCACCAAAATTTTGTAGGTTAGGCAAGAATCTTCCGGCCTACAGCTATTTTTTTTTCGCTTTTTTCAGCGCTGTTTTAACTTTTGAATATAGCTAGGATGGTGTTATATTCATGTCCTAAACACGAAATTACTTCTATTTTGCCGAGGAGGGAGCAGAAGAGCAGATGAGTCATCGCTCGCCGCGAGGTCCCCCCCCCCCAAATACGTTAGCACCAGAAACAGTCTTAGGCTGCAAGGTTCTTGCCTAAACTACAAAATTTTGTTGCATGTTTGTCGTTGACTGTTATTGTTGACTACAAAAAATCAAATTTTTAGCTTCTGTGGAATTCTTCAGCAAGTTCCCGGTGAATCTTGTTTGTTTTATTCTGATTTGGCTGCTAGATTCGCGTTTCAAGTATGCCGATGAGTGAAGAGCCGATGAGTCATCACTCGCCGCGAGCCGCGTGGCCCCTCCCAACTACGTTAGCACCTCGTACGGTCGCAAAGTATGAACGCAGCCTTATGCCGTGACTACGGTTTGCCCCCATCATAGAAATAACAGCTAGGGAAAATCATGAGCCACCGCTGAGACCTCTGTAAGCAAAGTATATAAAGGACAAGACAAAATGAGCATACAAAGAAGAGTGATCAGTTTGCAGGAAATGTCACCCTGGCGCATGGATGCGGGCCGTTAGTCTCACTTTGCGATAGTTTGCACAAAGTAGTCAGCTATTTCTTAGTAGCAAATCGGGTCTAACATATTGCAGCACTGTTAGGTTGAATCAACCACGGGTTTCTCAAACACCACCCCCGCGACCTCTCTCTCACCTACCTGCGACGAATATTTCGCTGCACTTGGGAAACTAACGACCCACATCCTCTAGGTACCGTGCAGACTTCGCGGTTATGCGCGTCAACGCGCAACCACCGCAATGGAGCTCTTCTGCCATGGGCGGGAAGGCAGCCGCACACGGGTATTGATCGAAGCCGTCCGGCCCTGATCGATAAGAGCGCGTTCAGACTTCGCGATCGCGCGATCGCTGTGATCGCGCTCTAATGTACTGTGTAGTAACGCAGTGTCCTCCCATAGCGCTATACTCTCTCACACAACACAAGCGGACGTTAGTAGTTCGGGAGGGTAGAAGGATACAAGATTGTGTGAAAGCAGCGCTTCCCCTCTTGTCATCCTATACTTTTTCGAAACACAATCAGTGCCGATCGATGCCCGTCTACTGCTTGTTCCTGTTAACATGTAGCGATCGCGATAACGCGTGTCGACGCGCGTTACCGCGAAGTCTGAACGCTATCTCGGCTCGTATAGACTTCGCGATCCAACCTCCCAAGCAGTTAAGTAGCCTCGTGGCTCCGCCTGCAAAGACTATTTCGCTGCACTCTCGATTATGTGAAGGGCAAGTTACGTTTTCACCACTTGTGATAGAGAATTTGCTTGTCAACTTCATTAGAAAACTAACTTTAGACAGATTTTACCTTTATGGCTACTACTGTTACGATGATTTGTTATAAATATAGACAGAACAGAAGTGTTACCTGAAGTTTGCATCTCAGTAGAGACGCCTTTGCTGGTATGCACAAGGATGTCTTCTCCCATGTCATGATCATCCACAATACCATCAACTTCAATAAACTCCTCTATTTCTTCCTCATGAACCGCCTATAACGGGGACAAATAATGTTTCTTGGTAAAGAAATGAGACAGGAAGGTTAAAAAGGGTAGCCTTCACTTCTAGAACTGCCTTGCAGACCACGGTAAGCGAACTGCTTTGGTTGAGCTTTTTAAAACAATGGACGCATTAGGAGTAGATCATTCAGTACAGGATGCCATCTCAAAATCCTCAAAAATTTCCGGTTTTTGATCTTTAACGTTCAAAGCGCCCCTTGTACCCCATTCCTACCCTTGTTTAGAAACCCGCGACACACAATGCAAGTACCATTTGTGACCCTTGATGGGAAAGGAGGATCGCACGGGAAATGGAAATTCCGGGTCGATCTTTGTCAACGATAACTTCCTCCTCCTCCTTTTTTCTTCCTCCTTTCTTCTCCTTCCTCACTTTCAGTATGCCAGCGCCAGCAACGAGAAATTTATTGATATCGGATCTAGCAAACGCTAGCGACTGGGAAAGTGTGGATATAGATCCAGCGAACGCCAGCCTTTTCGCGGGCAATTTGAGCTCGAGCAGTACGGTCCGCGAAAGCGCTGCTCTACGCTGACGTACGCCAGATCGATATCCATACTTTCCTAGCCGCTGGCGCTGGTGTGTGCTCGACCGTACGCTGACGCAAAGTATGAACGCAACCCAACGTTCTCTCTATTCCAGGGCGACAGATGTATTACGCTGATAACTCCCCGTCAATTGGGGCAGAAATGTGTGTGAATTTGTTGGATCTGTTAAGTCGAACATATGTATTTACAAATGGCTCGAAAATGTACATATGCTTCTCAAAAAGATGTAGAAAGCAGCTGGCTTTTGACGGGCATCTTTACAACATAAATGGATTTGTAAGTTACATTACTGCAACATTTCTTCACTAGCCAACTAAACCGTTCACTCAGTCCCATACTTTCAGCTGAATCCGGATAATTGGAACCTTTGGCGATGTGCGAATACGGCATGTAGAGGGACAATTCGCACGTCTCGTAACCTAACAGAACTACGTGTTCGAGATGCACATTCTGCTGATTGTCGTCCAGATGACATCCAGGTAAGACTCTTGGAACAGCCTCTGAGGTTGATTTCACATGACGATTTCAGATCAGATTGCGAATTACCGTATACGATCTCAGATTAATAGCAGAGTTTACCGATATACCTCTCGACGCCCTTTATCATGCATATCGTGAGTAGCTCTCAAGGGTTTTTCCACTTGGTAATATTGTTTCGGGTCATTTCATGTATTTTCAGTTGATAAGGTGATGAATGAGCATACGGATATTGTACACCTCTTCCCGTCTTTCGAAACTCTTCGCTCTAGTCTTGAAGGATCATCGGGCTAATCTTGTGAGTTTCTTATTAGGTCATCTTTTTGTCATCTGCTTGAAGTCAAATTGTACGCTCAGCTCTTTGGATTCTGCTCCTTTTCATGTACGAGATGAATGGGTCCACAGCTGCAGTAACAGGCCACTCTCTACGCTCGAAAAAGGACGGTAAAGAGGCCTAACACGGAGAAAAATGCGCTGTTTATGTTCCTCACGCTGGTTGTTCTTTACCCCCTTCGCTGCGAGATTTTGATATCGAAGCATGTGCTGCACCTTGGGGATAGTGCGGGCGAGTTCAGGAAGCGGCAGCTGGATAGTGGCATGCTACTGCAGCTGCAGGCCCAGTCATATACAATTTTCACTTTAAATCGGACATTTTTCAAACCAAATCGGACACTTTTCAAATCAAATCGGACACACCCCTTACAATAGGCAGTTGATAACTATACCACACTAGGTACTGCTGCAAGCCCCGCCCCACACCCCGCCCACTTTTCAGCGCGGTCACGGTTTTCCAAAATGTTTTATGAAATCTGCTTCTTCGACTTTTTTCACTTTTGCTAGTTGCACACACACTTCAACTGAAAAGGATTGGTACCGATGCAGATCTGACTCCGCCCACTTCACAATCAAGTGACGTAAGCTCTGAATTTTTATAACTTTTTTGACGTCTTTTTTTCACATTCAATCTTCACAAAACGAATATAGGCATGCATTCACACACTAGCACACTAGCCCCGCCCCTCTGACCACGCCCACTTTCGTTTTTCGCGGAATTTTGATTTTTCTTCCGAATTTTCACTTTTTTAGGCTGTGACAAGCGGCCCCGCCCACTAATGGAAGCTCCGCCCACTTTGTAGAAGCCCCGCCCACTTTTCAAAATGATGCAGATCGGCGAGCTAGTGACCGTACTGGCAGGTTATGGCCCTCTCCGTCAACCGGAACAAAGTTTCCTTTTTTTCTGCCCTTTCCTTTTTTTCATTCTATGTGACGGGGAAAGCCATAACCTGCCAGTACGGTCGCTAGCTCGCCGATCTGCATGATTGAAAAGCTTCTAGAAAGCGGGCGGAGCTTCTATTAGTGGGCGGGACCGCTTGTCACAGCCTAAAAAGTGAAAATTTGGAAGAAAAATCAAAATTCCGCGAAAACGAAAGTGGGCCTGGTCAGAGGGGCGGGGACTAGTGTGCTAGTGTGTGAATGCATGCCTATATTCGTTTTGTGAAGATTGAATGGGAAAAGGACGTCAAAAAAAGTTAAAAAAGAAAAAGAGATAAAGAAAAGTAAAGTAAAAATTCAGAGCTTGCGTCCCTTGATTGTGAAGTGGGCGGAGTCAGATCTGCATCGGTACCAATCCTTTTCAGTTGAAGTGTGTGTGCAACTAGCAAAAGTGAAAAAGTCGAAGAAGCAGATTTCATAAAACATTTTGGAAAACCGTGACCGCGCTGAAAAGTGGGCGGGGTGTTGGGGCGGGGCTTGCAGCAGTACCTAGTGTGGTATAGTTATCAACTGCCTATTGTAAGGGGTGTGTCCGATTTGATTTGAAAAGTGTCCGATTTGATTTGAAAAGTGTCCGATTTGGTTCGAAAAGTGTCGATTTTATTTGAAAAGTGTCCGATTTGATTTGAAAAGTATCCGATTTGGTTTGAAAAGTGTCCAAAGATTCAAAGTGAAAATGGCGTATATTGTCAAGGACCGTCTTAGGTGTGAGCATAATTCTTCAATAGGATTCATTCGCAGTATATTGAGCTTTCGTTCGGTTCTAACGTGACTGCTTCCATAACGATCCATGAGTTTCAGATTTATCGTAAAAGATTCGCCAACGAATCACGCGGAACCATTCCTCAAACCACAAACTTGAATCCACGACCAATTAGCGATAGCAATCGTACGGTAAAATTTCGACCAACGAAACCGTTTCCTCCGGTGAGTTTTTCTCACAAAGTACTTGTTCCCACTTTTGGCAAGTCTTGGGGACCTTTCGCCGGTAAAGTCGTTAGGAGCGTGTTTATACTTTGCGACTTGGGCGCGCGCAGCACTTACCGAGAAGTTGAGGCGAGCGGCGCTCTACTGCCGATCAGTGGACTGATGAAATGACTAATTCAACTACTTCGTAATAAAAGATCATTGGTGGGCCTCTGCTTTCCACCACCATGCTCCCCATTTATTCCGTAGACCCTCCCCACAACTTAGTTAGCCTTCTCATAACTTTTGTCGTGCTTTTTCTTTCCTAAATATCGGATATATTGCCATTGTGACAGTGTTTTTTGATCATTACTCTTGCTCAAGCTTTTGACCATGCTTTATGTGTTTACCTGAGGCGCTGAAATCGCCAAGTATGAACGCTCTCCAGCCTATTTATCCCTTGTCTTTATCCCTCCTTAATAAACTAGAATTTCGCTTTCAGACCATGTGCGATAGCTTAATTGCAATTATTCGGAAGCACTCCAGAAGTTTCCATCACAGCGACCAGTGTACTGAGAGAGCGATGAGTGTGTTTTGTCACACAGAAAAATCCTTGTCATTAAACGATTTACATTTGATGATTCCTGAATCTGATAATAGAGGGCTTGCATTTTGTTTCAGTTGCGATTGATTCATGAGATCTTCAGCAATAGGATTCGTATAGAGTAAGTCGGACAGCAAATTGACCGTATGAAGATAATATGTCTCATTGGGACTTGACATAATGTACTATCTGCGCCAGAGTGATAGTCGGCCACGCCTAAAAACCAAAATCGTTCGCCGATCGCGAGAGATGGTCCATTGCCACAGATTTATTCCGTGTTCTCGACGGCGGTGAGGGTTTCTGGTTGCATTTCATCCAGTAGTGCGACTAAAAATTACACGTTTTGAGAGCCGATGAATGAGGTTGGAATGCGTGCAAAGTCGTAACGTCCTACGAATTTATGATTCTGCTGCTCGAGTGTCAACAACACTAGTTATTTCCTGAAGCCAATGCAACAGTAACATGACGAAAGCGAATATCGAAAACCACAAATCACACAGCTGCTGTGTGTGCCAAGTGTTTTCTTGGCACTGCATCTGCAACGCAAACGAGAAGTGACAGACTAACCGAGGGGTACGTAGTCTATCGGGAGGCTAAGAGTCTGTGATGTCGAGTGGTCACGCGATCAACTGAACTCATGAATTTTGGATCATTAGCGGCAAAAAAGTGTCCGTACGAGGCGCAGCGTGGCTCAGGGCGGACGCATGGCGAAGAGCACGCCATTTTATGTCCCACGTGACACTTCTTCGTCGCAACAAGCGCATTTGTCGTCAACGTTGTGTAAAGTGGGAGACTTTATCCTACACACTGTATGTCTCCTTATGACCAAGCTAATTACAAGTGCTTTGTATGACTTCATTTTTCTGCTCAGTGCCCTATAAGACGGATGATCTCTCACTTTTGAAGACACCATCTGCGGTAGATTAGAGTAGATGCGCAAGCAGTATGTCTTACTCAAGGGCTACTGACCGGATTTCCAGTGCACAAATGTCCATTGCCATCCGTCACCATTTCTCTACTTTTCTTTATTACTTCATTTAATTTATTTTCATTATGCTAATTTAAGCCCATCATCCGAGGCGAGCTCAACGAAGTTGTGGTCGACTATTGTCTCGATCACTACTATCACAGTGGTACGTTCTTTTCCCCTCAATGTTATAAATATTAGCGGCGTCCTTTTTTCTGCTATTCTCCTTCTAGTACTAGTCTTTCGGCGCTGCTCGGCTTGGGAGGGGCAGGCTGCACTTTTGCTAGCTCCTTTTGCTGATCCTTGTTAGATAACAGGTCTTATCTTGGTGGGACCTGTTAACTCTTGTGAAGCTGTGAAACAAAGTAGTGAGTCACTTTTAAGAATCCACAGGTTTACAGGGAGGCTAGTGGCCTGTACAGGCTTGGCTGGGTACCATTCGATGCCGCCCCACCCCACCGAGTCGAACTGCGTCTATTTTACTTCATACCACTAGCTGGTTGTTACTTTCACAACGTTTCTTCACCTATCTCTGCAAATATTAAGTGTGTAATAGTATTATCTTACAGGTGATCCGATAGAGCAAGTCCCAGGCTCGGGCAAGTCTGTTGAATACTTTACTCCAGAGGTAACCGTGTTGTTTCCAAGTTAATGTTGGAGGTGATCGTTTCCATTTTCAGGTGTTCATGCGCGATCTGGCTCTAAGGCGTGTGACGAACACAGCAACTTATTCAAGACAAAGGCCTTACAGAGGATTAAACGTAGGAATCAACCGCCGTCAATTTGTGAGTTAATTCCGTCAAATGCTCCTACCTGTGTCAATTCGTAACCGAATTGCCCTTTTTCAGCTGCAAATCCATCACTAAAGATGCGAAAAATTAACAACATCCCTCCTGGTTGTTCTCTACAAGAACAGTGTAATTTTTACGCTATGCCTTTACTTCCCTCTTTTTGAACTGTTAGCTTCGAGGTTTCTTTTGATTTGCCTTTGCCTGCTTCATATGATTTTATTCAGATTACGATAGCCGTGGCGAATGTGATCCGGGTGACAGTGACGAATGGGAAGGAAATCCTGAGAGCGTATTTGCCACTTCACGAGCTCAACAGCGTCAAAAGGTTGGTTGAAGCTTTGCTGATTTTTTTTTTGTAGAATGCGCATACACTAGATGTGAGCTGTCGTTTAAAGGCAGCGCCCGCGTTCATTTGTTGTTCTCACGCCCTCTCTGGATCTAGTAGCTCCCCCTATGAGGATGGTGGACGTGCATGTTCCGCAACCCAAAAATGCGACGGAACAGCGGCGTCCGCCCGCAAAGAGCCGACGGCTCCGCCCACCACGCCACCCAACTTCATTTCTAATGGTTGCCTGATGGTGCGGTTGTTCCATTGCTGCTTCTCTCCACGTGGAGTGGTGAGAGTGAGGTGATAAGGGAAAACAGCTGATATGAACAAGTGGAAACTCGTGCAATCACTCCTTCTCTTCGCCTTAAGCACGTACAACCGTTGTTCGGTATGAAACTCCTTCTAGGGCATTTTGCGTGTTTTCTC